ACTTTATATGAACGCTGAAACACATTTTTACAATTTTCTCAAAAACGGCTCAAACGATTTTGATTAAACTCGGTGCATCCATGTATAATTAAGTGGTCTTTAATATTATTTAAGTCTTATCCCCGTTGATTTCACTTTACAGGGCTTAAATGCCCAATGTTCATATATGTCTTCCTCTAAAGTACCTTTAATATGGTTTATTTTAAAAAGTTAATCATTTCGCATTATTCAGAGTTACGAAAAAATGCTAAATATAACTTTTGAAAGAATTTGATAAGTTAATAAACGAGAAAAAAAATAAAAATGCAGAAAAACCTGCGTTGCTATAGACTGTAGCGCCTAAACGAATGTACCGATTTCAATGAAACTTCGCTAAAGTCATTTTCTCGACACCCTTGAAATTTATCTATATAACATACTTCAACGAAAAGAAGCTGGGAAAAAAGTTACGAGGGATGGTAAAATTAAATTCCGAATAACTCAAAAAGTGTACGCTTTTTGGGGGATATTGTATAATTGGTTTTTAAAAGTTTGTGGAATTTCCTAAAAAAACAAAAAAAAAGTCGTTAAAATCGGTTAATCAGGAGGAAAGATATGGTCTCTAGTTTTTATTCTGAAGAGGCGAAAATTTAGATAAATTTAAAATATACTTTTTTAATTGTTGAGACTAAAAAAACCTTTTTCTACAGATATTTAATAAAGTATCTTCTAAGAACATCTTTTCATAAGAAATAAGTACCTAAATTTATACCTTTATTCTCAGTTCTATATTTCAACACTGCAATCACCACCTCTGGAATCAACTTACTCATTGTCTGCATAGATAACTTTTTCAACTAAAAATATCACTAAAATGACATCACTCAAAAATGTTGAAATTGGAGTTAGTCATTCTGTGGTTTATAAAAGCAAAGAAAGTTGTGTGGTTTATAAAAGGAGATGGAGTGACTAGATTTTTATTGTCTGTCGTCGATATATTAAATAGACATTTTGTAATTATAATGGTCTTAATGACTTGTTATCTGTAAGCTTTAAGCTTTAGCTCCGTTTAAAATGCACTTCAAAAAATGTTATAATAGCCCAGCATTGCCAGAAAATAATTTCTATTCAAAGCAGATCGGTAAGTGAAAGTTGTGTGTTGGGCGCACCAGATTTATTTATTGAATAATATAACATTCTGTCAATTTAAAAACAGCTTGACTACAGATGAATAGCTCATCTAATAGGTAAATAAGAAAGTTTTTTGTTTTGTTTTTTCAATACAAAGTCGAAGCGTAGTGTTTTTTTTTTTTTATTTATTAATGATATTTACAACTGTATTAAAGAAATATATTTAATAAATTTGAACATATGGATATAATGACGTGAAAACACTTGTTGAGAAGCTACTCAACGGTAGCACGCTAACTTGTTTTTTTTTTTTTTTGTTTTTTTTTATCTGTTTATTGAGTAATAATACATTTTGCCACACTTAAGGGCACTGAGTACTAAGGCTGAGTGAGGCACATTCATAACATATATACAATACATAAAAAAAAAAAAAAAAAATAATAATAATAATAAAAAAAATAATAATAAAAAAATAATAAAATAAATAAATAAATAAATAATAAAAAAATTAAATAAAAAATAAAAATAAATAAATAAAAAATATAAAAATCTATATAACAAAGGCAAAAACTACAATAAACCAAGGAGAAGCACGCTAACTATATGTCTACATTAGGAGATCACGGGGCCATCTTCATTTCAGACGCCTCGGAGGGTTATCGGGAATTCAAGAGGAAGCAAGGTTAGAAACGAGAAGGTTGGGATGATTCTGAACTTTATTATGGGATGATAGGTATCTGAATTGGGCCAGATCTGAAACATAAGAAACATTGAGGTCATTATGGATGGTTTTATTTGTGACAAAATTTGAGTATTTTATGAAGGATTTTGGATTGTAAGGATTGAATACGAGAGGAATTCGATGGTTTATTGGAGCCCAGTAGCTCAACTTCGTAAGTCCAAATAGGCCTTATTATAGTCATGTATATGAGTCTTTTGTAATTAATTGGAAGTTTAGAGCGTTCGTATAGGAGGTGCCGAAGCAATCGGAAACGTCGAGCGGTTTCTTATCGTTTCAGTCTGGTATGAAGGTGTAGTGTAAATTCACTATTTGTCAATAGTTTATGTCGAATTTATAGAGGAGCTGTAATAACAAAGTCTAATACTTTTATATCTCGTAAAGTGTTTGGTATTAGTCGGTTATTAAACAGCTCCTTTAAGCACTAATAGTTTAGAAATCAGAGAACTAGTTTTTTTGAGTTTTGAACAAGAAATCAGATTTTTTTTTAGTCGAATTCGGCGATTGTGTGTAACATATAAACACACACATATTTACTTTTATATATTACTATAAATATCTATATTTTAAACTTATCTAAGGATAGCTTATTTTATTTTAATGTACACATTAGGTCTTAGGTTAAAGTACATCATCAGTAATAATTAATTCATTTTAAATCAAATTAAACAGCTAGGCCATAATTAACTGTTCTATGCATTGAGAGTCACATTATATATAAAGAGGTTGTAAATTTATTTATATTTGTATTTAATATCTACAGTTCTTAAAAACATTCTCCGACTTGAGTGTGTCATTTTGCATTTTAGGTTTTCGAGGCATGGTTTGATTAAGCAGAGAAAACAAAAATGCTCCATTCGTGAATTAAATTTGAATCAAGTAAATTAGTTATCAATGATCAAAATATATCTTAAATTATGTTAAAATAGTGTGATGTCCTTTTTAGTTATAGTTTATGGATGGTTTAGATGTTTTTTGTTTTATTATATTCCAAACATACATATTTAAAAAAAATTGAATGGACTTTCATATTTTATGTTTATTATTGTAAACATTGCAGTAAATGTTAATGGAATAATAATAATAAATGTTCTGGTTTAAAAAAAATATATTTGTTATTGCATAGAAATTACATTTTTTCCAATAATTTAGAGATTAATTGCTTGGCTGATTTATTTTTGTATAAAATGTAAAAATATTAGTTATGCATTTTAATATTATCCGTTTAAATAATTTTTAAGCAAATATAGATGGTACATATATGGTAAATATATAAATGCAAATATGGTACATATACATGCCGTTTCGATTTGAATTCTTCTAGTTACGAGTGAATATACATTTTATTCCAAATTATTTTAAATCTTTTTAAAGGTTTACTCGTTAATTTTTTTTTCATCAAACAGAAATTACTCACTTAGCTATTCAATATTTTTTAAAATATTTAATTAAAGAAGAATGCAGGATTAAGTTTTTTACTGAAATAGTAATCGTTTTTATGAGCAACTATTGAACACATGAAGGTAATGTGGTCATCATCCAGTTTCAATCCATAGGTTTTCTCAAATCCATTTAAGAGGCAGATGCTTATAGGTACAGAATCAATTTCATGATAAGTAATGAATTCTTCAAGGAAGAAAAAATAAAATCGACAAATTTTGTTTTATTTGCATAAAACAAGTATAAACTCTACAGTAAATCTTCTTCATTTTTTAAACCACTATTAATCTAAGCACTAGCGGATCCAGGATTTATTTTTGGGAGGGGCCTCAAGCCCGAAAGTTTTTTTTTCATAAAAATAACGATAATTACTTTGGAAAAAAAGAAAGATACTAAATAGCTATATGAAATGGTGTTTGAGTGATTCCTAAAGCCCTTTTAAATGTAATTACACGAACAATAATACTTTAACAGATACTTTTTAATATTTTTTTCGATAAAACGCGGTTATATTTTACCATTTTTGGGAGGGGGGGCTTCAGCCCGAAAGCCCCCCCCCTCCCCGTAGATCCTCCCGTTAATCTAAGAAAATGAAAGAATATTATTAAATAAAAAATTTTCTATAAAAAAAAAAAAACACAAAAATAACTGGCTTTGGAGAAATTTAATTTGATTATGAATTGTACGCTTAAATAATATTTAAACGACCAAAACAAGATAATCTGAGCAGTAAATATATGTGTTAAAATGAACAAATGAAACTAAAATGAGTTGAGTGGTACAATAGTGAACATGAAACAATTTTTTTTTTAAGAAGTTCTTAACAGATTACGTTTCTTTTTCGCTCTTAAGTCATAAAATAAAATTATATTACTTGTATATTTGAATTTCCTTGTTGTTTGTTTTCTTCTCAGGAATAAATTCAATAATTCTAAATTTAAATGAGAACAGACTCAATTTTATTTTTTCCTTAATTCAAAATACGACTTGAATCAATTTAGAGTTTTTTAGTTATAGTCTGTAAAACAAAAAAAAATTCAGTCAATTTCCTTCTTTCGCCTCTTCTCCTCTCCTATAAAAAGTCATTTTTTTTTAATACTGTGTTATTATGTATGGCATATTGCATGATATTATATCTTAACATTGACATATTTTATTGACTTAATTAAGGTTTTGGAGTACTACCAATGGGTAGTTTCTTTACAAGTATTTTCATGTCATTATATTCCTATGAGTCGCGTTTACTTGATGTATTATTATTATAAATGTAATTTATTGAATAAAAAAAAAATTAAGGTCAAAACAATCAAAATAAAAAACAGATATATTTTATTTGACCTAAAAATAAAAGTTCTTTTGAACCTAGTTCGAGCTCTTACCGGAGTAGCAAGAAATCCTTAAACCTCACCATGCTAAATTTGATTTTTCAAAACTGAAGTCATGTATATATTAAAAAAAAAACTTCATTTGAGGAAAAAGACTATTTTTTTATTCTTTTTCCTTTCGTTTTATAATGAATCAAAAACATTATCCTACGAATAAAAAAATATTTAATCCGAGTGACCGCTATCAATGGATATTTATGATTATGTAAATATTTTTCGATTCAGAAAAGTTTATTAGCAAGGACGAAAAAATTATTCTCAGCAATAATTTCTGTGGGAGTAGTACAGGGTCAGAGTAGAGGGGAGCGTGTGAGGAGGCGTGGCCTATGGTAGTAGTGGGGGTAATTGGGGGCGTGGCTAGCTCCAGGCGAGGGGCGGTGGGCAAGAGGGGAGATACGAGTCAGTCACCTAGTAGAGTCGAGTTGGTTAAGATGTATTACCAACAGTATAACATGTACAAGCAGGGGTGGTACGGGTATCAGCCTCAGCAGTACTTGAGTTGTATGCACGAAGAGCAAGGATGGCTTGTCCAGCAGCCTGGAGGTCAGCTGCAGGAGCAGCTCGTTCAACCTGGACCAGAGCTTTGGGAAGAACCGCACCCCCAGCAGACTCCAGCCATCGAGCAGCAGCAGAACCGTGTTCCTCCTCCACGGAGCCCGTACGAGTGGATGAAGAAGCCTTCCTACCAGACACAACCAACCCCGGGTATGTACTTAAACTCTAATCCCTACGTACTGATAAATGCTCTGATAAGGGTCTTGATCCACACCATGTAGCAGCTGTGAAGATGATGTCTTAAATTTTGGTTCATTGCTGCTATAAATATTTTATTGTCTTGGTCATACAAAAAACAAACAAATATATTACTGACAAATTATTCTTATCAAATTTGACAACTAAGCATGTGAGACGGGTTGTTTATTTTCTTTAGTTAGTATGACCCAAAGCATGCCGTTGCATTTAATAATACCAATATTATTATATTTTTCATGAATATAACTTTGTAAAATGGTTATTAAACGCAATATACAATATAACTTCAAATTCATTTGGTCCTGTAAGTGTTAAATTATTCTTGTTCCATTTTAATTTTATTTTACCTATTTTTAGTATAATTATTAGGATCAAAAAGAAACACGATGATACCATAACTTTAATTTTTTTAAAACAAACACAATTTTACCCAGTATTTTACATGTTTTACCCACAAGTTTAACATGGACCAATGTTGATCAAGCATCCTTATCATGATAATTTAACTTTAAGTATTTTCGTAAGGATTGTTTTTCTCAATTTATATGATATAAATATTTTATAATTATTCGTTTAAGGTACGGTTTTGAACATATTTTTAGGACGATTTCTTATAAATTAACATTTTCTCCTCAATTGAATATATTGTCAAAAATAACATTCAATGCGGAGTGTTTCTTATTGCTATTCTCATTTTATCTTTGTATCAAAATACCCGAAGTATTACTAAAAAAAAATGTTTTAGTAATACTTTGCAAGAGCCCGCTTATATATTACCAATTTGATTATTTAAAGTCTCGTAAAAACATTATGTAAAACTATGGATAATTTGTAAATGGCTATTAACAAGTACAAAATACTTCATTGAAAATTGTGCATGACTTGCCGCTACTAGCATTTGCTTTAAGACAAATTTGGAAGTTGTTCATTGTAATGTTGATGTCTTTTCTTTTTTTTTCTACAAGCATTTCGAAGTGACTTTTAAATATTTTATAAATTATTAAAATTTCGATAATTATAATTATCAAATTGTTTATAATTGATTTATTTATCAGTTACAAAATTATTAAGTTTTGTTTAAAAAAATAAATAAAAAAACTACAGATTACAAACATAATCAAGGAAGCTATAAAATTGATTTCTCTAAGACTGATCCCATTAGATTGATATATGATTGATTTAATAACTAATGAATCATTATTAAATCCATGTATGATTTCTTGAACTTTAGACGAAACGCTTCCGTATATTGAATTATAAATATAATAACATTTACTTAGTAGCTTTTATATTTATTTTTTACAAATGAAAGATAAATTTTTAAATATATTTTTTATTTAATTAAAAATTATGACAGTATTACTTTAGCACACTAAATAAAAAAAAATATTTACAAGAAAACAAAAGTAAATACAATAAATTATTGTAGTTCATATTGCAGGAAACCAATTATTTATTTGTAAACAGTAAATTTCGTTGACGATAACAATATATTTAAATTCTAATATTTTTTTATAATAAATTTCACTATTAATTTATTTCGCTAAAACTCCATAAAACTTAAGAAATATATATATATTTTTTTTACATACACACATAAACTTCCATGGTCAATACTTGTTGCAGATAAAATAATGTTAATAATAAAATTTTATATTTTATTCAGGCTAATAGAAATATGTGCATGAATATTACTAATTTAATTTAAGAAAGTAAAAAAATAAAATTTTTAGAAAAAAAAAAAAACGCTTCATAAGTTGTAAAGAATAAAAAAATTAATTTTTAAAGTATATCTCAACGTTGTAACACTTATGCAATTATTTATAATATTTATCATTAAAAAAGGGTGGGTACAAATAATTCACTTATTCTTAGTTTTAATACTCGAAAGCATTACAACGTTTTAGTAATTCTTGTTTACCGTAGATCTGTCTAATCCCAGCTTTGACGTAGACATTAACGTCTAAGAAATTCTAGAGCATTAAATTATCAGGAAAACTCCCATTTTCATCTACAACGTTTTGAAATTATAATTAATAAATTCACTAAAATAATATCATAAGTGTATTACAATTAGTATAAAGAAATATTCTAAATCTATTCCTTGCCAAATTAGAATTAAACATTATTACTAACGACTAGAGTGAATTGAATATATAAGGTATAATATTTAAAAGTTATTAAATAATTCTGTTACTGTAACTAAGTAATGTATCACAAACAATTTTGATTGAATTATACAAAATTAAATAATTAAAGTATAAATTTTAACAGGCATTTAATACTTTTAGTTTTGTAAGCAACAAGTTAAAGTTTACAGAATGAAATATAATTAAAAGAAAATTATTATTAACGAATAATTTAATTATAAAAAGTAAAGGAATGACATTAAAAAGTTACAAAATAATTCGGATAATTAATGTAATATTAACAATTTGTTAGTACATGAAAAAAATCTGTTAAGGATTTATTCATAATAAATCGAACTAGGTTTAATTTTAATAGTTCACAAGAATTTATTAAGTGAATAAATAGGCATAGCATATAACTGTGTATCTAAATATTTATAAACCGGCTACTATCAATAATTAAATTCCTAAATCCTTAAGATATTGTCTAATTTAAAAAGAAAATAATTATTCTAAATGTTTAATTCTATACTTGAAATCAGGCTTCGTACATTCGCACTTTAGTTAACTTGTACATAAATGAGAAAATTTATTTAAATAGGCTTGATAGTAAATTTTTGTCTTCTTAAGTTTTTTAAATACCAAATTTGTAATAAATATAACTGATATTTTAATCATACTGTAAAATTTGTTAGGATAGCCGCGATTAAATATAGATGTAATTTTTATAACAAGCTTTATCATCATTATAAATTTTGTTTTAATAAATGAGACGGTTTGAGGAATTAATAAATTATGAGTCAGTTCAGCACTCCTGTCATATTTGATGAGACACCATTTACACCATAATATAAAAATTAATGTTATACCTTTCTTTCAAAACTACTAAATACAATATTCATACACATAAATACATTCAAAGAAATCCTTATGTTTTTAAAAATATACGTCACACATGAATGCTGTCTTTACTGTCTTAAATGATTTTAGTTTTCAATCTTTACCCAGACTTTTCGAGTGTTAACTTATATATAAATATACTCAGTTATTTTATTCATTAGTATGGAATTATTGATAGTAAATTGTTTAAAGAAATAATCTTAAGTAAGTTAAATAGATAAAAATTAATGGAAATGTATAGTATCCTACTAAGCCGGAAGGCTTTTATAGTAAAACATTTTTTTTAAAAAAAGGTCTTTTTTCTTATATTAAAAAAATGAGTGCAAATGATTATGATAGAGAAAAAACGGCATATGATGCGACATAGCAGATACTGTATACCGGATGTTTGTTCGGTGGATTTAGAAATTAAACAGCTGGTGAAGATAATGTTATTTTGACATTCACGCTCATGCTACGGGGCGCTTTTGTCAAAAAAAAAAATTAAAATATTTTACAAAATAGACGTAGTTAAATTTCAAAACACTGTGTTGCAAAATTCAGTAACAAGCCATGCGAAATAATAAAGTAAAAAGTAAACTTCCTCAATTGGATAACCATTCATCCTTTTTCCTTTATGAATGGACGAGTATAATTCATAGTACTTTCCCCTTAAACAAACAACAACATAAACATATATAAATTTTATGTCCTTATCCTAGTTGCCACCTTTCTGTATATATGCTTGTAATAAAATGTAAACACTACACACAAAAATGTTTTATAGCACTATTCTGGTGTGTGTAAATAAATAAATGGCCTACAATCCCATAAGCTAAGGGTAATAAGTTAATTACTCGTAGTAAATAAAATTAAATGCTATAGAATTATTTTCAAGTGCTTTGTAGTGTCTTTTATCGCTTCAGTCGCGCGAGTGCTAATTTTAAAGAGCATTTATTGATTTTTTGTTTTTTATCTTATTGAATAATCAATACGCACATTTATCATTTATCATCACAATCTTAAAGCTGTGTCATAATAAGAATAATTTTTATAACATTAAATAAATTTAAACAGTTAAATATTTAAAATAATATTAACTTGAAGCTGTAATTGAAATGTATCTTTCAATCAAAATTTAGCATTACAATTAAATAATTTTTAAACATTCGATAAAAATATCTTTTTAAGTGAACATTTTTTTTTTAGATAGGTCGAAAGTAAACTGTATTTTATTAATAATAATAATAATAAACAAAATCTGAAAACTACATTAATATAAATTCAAACAATATCAACAATATAAGTTAATTCTTTAAGTTAAAACACTATAAACGACCATTCATTTCAATCAAAATTCTATTCATCTAATATACTTAACAGAACTTACTCATAGTTTATTATATACATGACATATAGAAAAATAAAGTTAATTTTAATAGTATATTATTTTAATCAATCGCCTAAAAATATTGCAATAATTTAAATTAATTGGATTTATTTTATTTTATTTACTCATGTGATATTTAAAATTATTATAAAAAATAATAAAAGTAGTAACCTAATCTATAAAGCCATTCCACAACTATTCCCGTTTAAGAGTAAAAATAAATGAAACAAATGAATTTACCAACATGCACACGTTGAAATTTTAAAAAGTAACGAAATATAACTACAGTAAAAATTATAACATATAGTGTATAATTAAAAAAATAAATTTTAAAACAACTTGATTTCATTTGTAAATTGACGGTAACTTGCAACAGGTTATACGTAATGAATATTTATTTACGAAAAGTGTACGAACTCCATGCAAAATATCATAAACATACGTATGTAATTTAGAGCACTTCTCATTATGTTCTATAGTACATATTTCTCACTATGTTCTTTGTTTGATAAAAATGTAAAGATTTACTTAAAAAAAATTATTACAACAAAAAAAATTTCATAGACAAAAAAGTTTAAAACATACATGACTCATTGCTTAAAAGTTTTTTGTATAGAAAAAAAAA